AGAGTTAAGGTAAGAAAGAAAAAAAGAAAAGAAACGATTCATTTTAATTATTCAATAAAGAACATGAATTTCACTTATAAAATTGTTTCTATCTTCTTATAGAAATTACATGATCAAGTTGTTGTTTTTTTCTATGAAATTTTGTTATGATCTAAGTAAATTCAATAGATTTCATTTATTTATGAAATGTTTTTTTTTTCTTTTGTTTTGTTTGGTCAATCAAATGAAGAAAAAAAAAAGAATCGTTTTAAAGAATTTGTAACATTCTACTGAATTTAAATGAATAATATTATTCGTCTATTTGGATTGTTTTATTACTCTCAGTTGATGATTTCCCAACATAATAATAATAATAACAATTTTTCACGTTTCAATCTCTTATTTTCAATTTTCTTTTAATTGACCGATTTTCAGAGTGAATAATGTTAGTTGTTACTGTGTAGTAAATAATTAGTTCTTGATTATTTAGAGTTAAATTTTTCTTTGGTTTTTGATTGTTCATAGTCATGAAATCATTCTTATGGAATATTTAATAATAATAATACACCAGGCCTCAACATTTAGAAAGGAAAAAAAAACATGATCCTGAAATGTAACATAAAGAGCACCAACCTAAACACACTTGATGAAGAATCTCAGAAAGAGGTGAAAAGTTTCACGTACCCGGACAGTATCATTGGTAGATAAGAAGGATCTTGTTGTAAATGTAAAGACAAGGATTTGAAAAGCAAGGACAGCATTCCTACAATTGAAGAACATATAGAACTGGAATCTTTAATACGAACGTCAAGATAGTTTTATTGTTCGAGGCTGAAACTTGGAGAACTACTACAAACATCATCAAAAAAGTACAAGTATTTATAAACAAACATCTCTGCAAGATTCCTAATTCCCGTTGTCTGGATACCATCAGCAGCAGTCTACTGTTTGAGAGAACAAACCAACTTCCAGCTGAAGAAATTAGGAAAAAACGATGGGACTTGACAGGACATACATTGCGGAAATCATCAAACTGCATTGATAAGCAATTTCTAACTTGGAATAAGAAGCACACATCAAAAAGATGAAAAGCAATTGGAAACAACTCGAAAGGAAAGCCCAGAACAGAGTTGGTTACAGAATCCTATTCGGTGGCCTATAATCCACGAGTGATGACAGGTGTAAGTAAGCTTAATCTATTTAAACAACCATGTAGTGAACAACTACAAATTCTGACTTAACATTAACCCATTTATAAAACAATTCCAAATAGATTTCTTGACTAATTTATAACTTTTCTTCTTTTAGAAATAATTCACGTTGGATCAGAACACTGACAAAGTGTCCCTAATGTCATATGTTGAGCTTGAATAACGTATTTAATAAACTGACACAGTTACGGTGTTTTGAAATATGAATAACTATCTCTTGACTAAAACTTTCATTTCTAGTCTGTAGAGTGTACCAGTACAGTATAAATTATTCATATCATTGATTATCATCACTCCGTTGGATGTGTGTAATTGTAATTACATATAAGCATCAAATCTTATGAAAGGAAGTAGTGACAATTGTGAAGTCGTTCTAGTGAATTCCTACCTCGAAACGGAAGTAAAATAATCTCCGGACAACACAAATAGTTATTTTCTGATGTGGAAACTTAGCTTGCTTTGGCACTAAAGAGAATTAAATCAACACCCTGAAATGAGTGTGAATTACTGATTGACTGACAATTGTTTTTGTTATGATTAATCACAAAATTTCACTTTATATTAATACTAAAGGGATTTTTTAGACATTGTTATTTATGATAGTTTATACTATGAGCCAACTTTTAGGTAGACAGCCAATGAAACCAGGAAACAGTGAGCAAATGCTCTGACCTTGTATGAAGCTACTCCAAAGTGCACGCCCACCACTGAGCGTTCACTAAGAGAACTGAAGGTCCTAGGTCCGACCCGACACGAAGAGTTCATCTAGGGGAGTTGTAAAACCCTGATTACAAACCAGTGGTGTACATGGGCTCCAGTATACTGAAGGAACAAATGGCGTATGAACCAATCATTGATCACCGGCTACAATGGGACTGCATCTCCTTACGATGCCCTACTGCCTTGTGGGTCAGAACTTTAGGTTGAAGGCTCTGGTGTGGTCCTCTAAGAAAACCACCTGCTTCGGTTTGGGCACCCGGGAAGTAACGCAGCCCTCGCACAAATCAAATGGGATTTGTGTGGCGCAACGGATTTGGTGCCTCCTTGTACCAATATCTATGTTTTCAAATAATAATAATAGGTTCGATCTCCAGTGTAATAGTGGTAGTCCACTGTTGAGAAATCATAATGATATGATAAACACACGAGTTTCTTGTGCCCTGTTGAGGCTTGTGTGATAGACTTGTATCTATAGGAACAGTTGTTTGATCTAGTCCGAGTACTGATTATTTCACCGAGATTTTCTACATAGGAACAATAGCCTGCTGTTGATTAATGACGCGATGATCTATCGTTGACCAATAACGGAATAGCTGTGAGGTAACACGCAAGATCATTTCTTAACGCCTGTTGTTTCAAGATTCAGTTCTTCCACGCTCGCCTCCGCGACACCCAGAGTAGAACAAAAACACAGTAAACATATAACCTCTGTCGTACAATTCAATGCTATGCTTTAGCTAGTACAATAATATAGAACTGGTTCTTGACAATCGACCAACATAAATAAGAAATTAAAAGACATGCATAAGTGGAAGAGAACTAAGTGATAATTACGTAAATAAACAACCATAACCTGAGGAAGTTAAAACATACAATAATAGTTTATGCGCCAAAAGAAACCTTACAAATAGGGGAATATCAAGATACAATAAACCAAACATTTAGCAATCATACAACATCTAAACAATAATTGTTCGTTAGGTAGTTTCGAGAGTTACAACCTCTGCAGTATTTTCCTCCATTATAGAACAGACTAGAAATATAAATATATCATGTGCTTACGTTCGACTCATTAATTACTAATATATGTTTAACTATTCTTAATCTGTTTTCAGCTTATTATTCACAGTCTGCACTACTCATAACCACCTTTTGGCTCTATCATGTATAATTTTTTTTTAATTCATGGTGTGATGTGGTTGGGTATTTCTGTATATGAACCACGTATGTTCGAAATATAATATTCGTATAGTGGAGTCCATTCTCTGTGTTCTGGACTCAACGGCTAGGGAGGACAAAGAAGATACCAAATAGAAGACCAATAAGAGCTCAATGTCGACTCAAGTTTTATAGTACTGTAGACGGGTTCCCATTGGTGTTTTTGTCATGTGTTATTAGTGAGCGGCCATAAGTTATAACTAACATTTCTTAAATGATATTCTGGAAGGGATTTGGATGAAATTTCACGACATTCACCCACTTGCATTCCCTATAAATGAATTATAATTTATTGGATCCATTTATGTCAACTATAGAAATACCATGTAGCATAATATTAACTAATTCAGAAAAGCATCCCATTCCGATACCACTTGTCTCAATGAGGATAAGAATAAAAAAGTTGTAGGTACTGAGTCAGAAAACAATATATAGAGAATTAAAACGGCAATGATAACAATTACAGTAATCAGTACCTTTGGTAAATTCTATTGATGTTTCAAGAAGTTGATGTAAAAAACGAGATGTATATTTGCGCTATACATTTAAAACAATCTAATCACGTATATAATTGCCAAAGGATTATTAAATCAAAACAAATAAAGGTTGACTAAATAAAAGACTAACAAAATAAGTGGTAATCGGAAACAAAAGAGGGGAAATTAACACAATATTGGGAAGAGTAAGAAGTTATCATACATTAAGGATTAAAATGGATTAAAGATAAGCAGGGTAGAAACAAGGTAAAATCAAATTGTTTTGATATACAACAGAAGGTTGACTTTCTTAATAGTTAAGGCTTTTATAAACTTGAGAATGTGTCCTTGACAATTTCTACACTATACTTGAAAAGTTGTTTTGAAGTCAACCCAATCACCTATTTCGATCATGTGTTTTGCTATCTAGAATCATGGCCTCCTTTTCCCCGCGTTTATCGGAGCGCTTAACACTAACTAAGATTTTTATTTCTAAATCCATTCTCTATATGAATTACTTTATAAGTGAGTTTTCGCAAATCTGGAACAATTTATCACAGACAAAAGTATTATGCAACACCAATTAGAAGTGGAATGCCTGGAAGCAAAATGTTGAGATTGAACTGAAAAAAAGGAAAGAGAATTGGAAGAATCGAGAACGATGCAAAGGACAACTGATGGAAGATGTGCAAATGAAGTATTTAATTTATGGTTTTCGTATTTAACGAAGACACTGTAATTTTGTATTAACTGATAAATTGGTTGTCCCCACCTGAGTTCTCATTTATGACTGTACTATTTTTCGTAATTCAGTTTTCCCCATGACCTTAGGCTTTTTTCCAATTAATTTGCTAAATTTTCATCTGTTCGGCGATTATATTTTCGTCAGTAAGTATACGGAGTTATATCACTTTACTTAATTTAGCTCGGTCTACTTCAATTATCAAGTTTTCTGATTTCAACCTCTGTTAGTTGGTCAAGTGTTGTATACTAGTTACCGTTATGGATTTACACAACACAACCAGCTGTATTAAAGCTTACAATGAACACCAAATATCAAGATTTCACACTTTGTAAATAATGTACCATGATTTTTTTTAAAAATTATTACCTCTTTATTATATATCACTTCCCTTATCTCCCTGTAAATTGATGTATATTGTTCAATAATTTTTAGAATAACTTATAGTTACAAATACAAATTTATTCTATATGAAAATAGACATTATTATTATGTAATGCACGAAGTTCTAATTATTTCAGCACCGGATTTGAAATGATCCCCTATAGAAAAAACTAATTAAGTTAGTAGTAGGCAGAATAAGTCAAAATAAATCAAAAGATTGTGAATACAAATCCAACACGATCTAAGAGTAATATTTTGCCATTAAATCAATTACCATTTCTTCAAAATTTCATATGCCGAATTCAATGTTGAATCCTCCTGAAAAAGTCATAACAGGAAAAACACCAAAATATCAATAGCTAATTATTTTGCACAAAACAGACAATCACACAAGCAACTCCAAATGATACTAAATAAATAGAGAGATTTACTGATCACCAAACATGGATAACGTAGTTATAAACTTGTATACAGCGAGAATAGAGGCTTAATGCTTAAAAAAATTCGCTTTATAAAATTTAGTTTCAGATTCAAACGTACTGTGAATTTTCTAAAATAATGTTCCATGGTGTAATTAAAGATTTCATCAGTTAGTTAAAATAGACCAATTAGGTTCGATTGTTCTAATATTTAATACATTTTGCAGTTATGACGTAACAATCAAGAATTAGTATCCATTAAAAAGGTCCCGATTACGGAAAGGACACATCAATAATGACGACCATTAAAAAAGTAGACATTAATAAGGGAGAGAATAGAGAAACTCGACTTTCAACAAAATGTTCGAATTTGGAAACAATTTATTCATTATCAATCCACTTATGTCATTGCAAACAGCTATTTTGAAGAGAAAGGCTTAGACACTATATCTTTTCATACACTATTGAGTATTATTTTGATATGATATATTTATACTTTTATTCATGGTTAAGATATCTATTAGGCGTTAACATTAGTATTTTATTGAGAATGAAACAATAGTGATTGATGATTTTGTACGTATTCACTGTGTTTTTGAGAAATCTTTTAATTAATTCTTACATTTGATTGATGACTAAATTTTATAAAGAGAAACAAGATTATCAGACAGACAACTGTTTCATCATAAAACTAATATGGATTATCCTTGAAAAAGTATCGCCGTTTTTAACTTGGAACAGCAATATGTGAAAATTATTCAAACTAATGTTTATTCTAAATGTGATATATTTTCAGACATGTATATGTAGGTTTGTGTGAAGAATACAATGTGAATAAGTTATTTGTATGTTTATAAAGGATAAAGAATTCCAGTTAACAAATAACCCGACAGTAGCTGCTACATTGACGTGGTGTTCAGGCTTACATATCTTGATGCCCCAACCGAGCTATATTGGCTGGAACATATGTTCCTGTAGGTTCTACCATGCCAGGCAGGTCGATTGGAGAACGGTAAGACTAAGAGCAGCAACTCAAGGTATGAGGGCGAAGTCATACTGCTGACTGTAGAGGGGTGTGACAGCAGCAAGGTATTTCCCTCGGGGAACCAGCGTTTGCAGCGATGCCGCCTTCACACAAGAAAGGAAGGGGTTAGAGAAGGCCGACCCTAATAATGTCACACCTCACCTTACCTCACGAATTTCCGTCTCCGGAGATAGGACCTTTTGAATAACGGAGCTAACATGTTAAAAAATCCCACAAAATGACCGTGCATGACCGGCCTCAATCAGTTGTCCATTGGGCTCTGAGGTCACGCTCCCAGGTTGATAAGACTGACACTAATCCAGATTCCTTTTCGAGTTCATGTAGGAGCTTTAAACGTCTGAACACTGTGCCAAATAGGACAACAGGCTTCTTTAGCTAGAACTTTAGAATCTCGCACGTACGTACGTACGAAGTTCTACGTTGTTGCTGACTGACTGCGAGTTAACAAATAAAATTCTAGTGATATACAACTGCCTTACAAAAGAACATGTTTGTCAAACACTTATTCAAAGAGAACTATTTCAGCCTGAGGAATAAGCGTCAACTGAGGGCCAATATTGAAAAGATGTTTACAACCTCCATATTATCGCCTATTGTTAAGATAGTATGCGTTACCAGTCTTCATTCTCTCCTGATCCAACTCATTTTCTGTGAAACGCTTTATACTACTTGCTAATATTCGGTAGCCAACTTTATTTCTAAACTAAAGTATTTCTATATTGTTTTAAGACTTTGAGGTTCGTTTGAAGGAAAAATCCCCTTTATTTCAAGTCAGAATTGTGTCCACAAATTAAGATGTGTCAATTGTGATGTTTACTATATTGGAGTTTCATCTTTTGAAATCTTGACTCGAGCCAAAGAACATCTTAGATACACAAAGAAAGACTCCAAATCGGCAATAGCAGTTCATGCCATTTTCAAAAACCATCAAATCAATATCAAAAACATCAAAATAATACAAAAAACCTTTCCCAACTACAAAGAAAGGAGAGTAGCCGAAGCTTTTCATATTTAGCTTAATCCGACCACCTTCAATAGACATGAAAACCTCACTATCCATCCAACTTGGACCATTTATCCAAGTTACCATGTCTTATTCTATTCACATTTCATACTATTACCGTACATGCAAATTAAACTCTACCCTTTCTCACCACAAATGTCACATTTTTTCATCCCTTACCATACAAACACAGATATACAAACATGCCAAATATAAATCACCTTGACTGGAATGACATAACATTGACTTGGTCAGACCCGTTTTTGATTGATCGCAACTTATATTCTTGTTTTGTTCCTTTATACTATTTAAACTTGGGTTAATTTAATTTGACTATTTATCGTCTGAAGAAGTGGCCTACACTGAGTCACGAAATATCAGAAAAAATTAAATTTTTCTTCTCATTGGGATATTTACAAATATATTATTTTTATTTATGACAATCTACCCAATGACCAATTTATTTGAAATTATCAAGTTCAACCTTGGTAATTATACCCACATATTTTGATTGTGTAATAAACTAAAGTATTTACATAAACTAACAACATTTACTGTATTTGTCATTTTAATTACATTCACTGAAACCTTGTAACTGTTATTTTCAGTTTTCCTGCATTACTCGAACCTATCTTTCGGCAGCTCACATGTTTATCGGCTCTTTGTCTTTGTTTGATTGTTGATAGTCAATACTGACTTAAAACATATTTAATAACTGTGATTTACACTTTTTTCTCCCCATATATAAAATCGTTTTGATCCTAATAGATACCTTACAAGTTGAAGTTTGTAACTAATTTAGATATATTTTGTAATCATAAAACCGTTTTTTAGATCTTTGTTTTGAACCTCGATTTCACGAGTGTCTCAGCCATGTGATCGAACACTCAAATAGATTCGACACTTAAGAAACAAAAAGCCTGCTCAGACAACCTAACTTGGGTGACAGACATCCTTTAATTCAGTTCAGCTCTATTTACCTGTTCCTAGGTTAGCATTTATATTGATTAGACAGAAACTGTATTATCAAAGAGAATCTCCAAAACACTCAACAACGCTATAATTTATTCTGTTTCCGAAATGAGGGGAATCCCAATAATCTATGCTGTCAAATAATGCATATATACTGGCACAAATGTAGACCAATTGTTTAAAGTGTAAGTAGGTTACGAATATCATGTCAAAATAATACTAAATAGTGAGTGCAAAGATATATTGCCTAAATTTTTCCCTTCATAATAGTTATTTTCAATGACACAAGTGGATTGATAATAATAAGTTGTTTCTAAATTCGAACATTTTGTTGCAAGTAGAGTTTTCATAAAACGTTTCGAGAACTACGTTTCTGATTGGCTGTAGAGGCAAACGGACAAATAGTAAACCGATTGACTTACTTTCAAACTTAGAAATTATGTTCCCCCTATTCTATGCTCACCTTTGTTAATATGTACTTTTTTAATGGTCACAATTATTTATATGCGCCTTTTTTCTTAGCCTCTTATTGTCGTGAACCGTTGATGGGGTAATGGACCCAAGTATAGTGATTGTTAACATTCAATTATTTTCATTGATGTAGTGTGTGTATTTCACACGGGTAAAAATGAACAGAAATATGTAAAAATAAATGTGGAAGAAATAAATAAACTTACTTTGAAAAAACAGAATCGTAAATATTTTGAACCAAGATGTTGATTAGATGTTGAATAAAACACACTCATTGGAATAGCAGAAACACCCTACAGAAAATCAAATAAGATTATATAACGACGAGATATTGGTGATAGGAATAAAACAGGATAACATACATTTATAGCAATCAGTGATTTATCACGGGTAGATACAATAGAAATCTACAATTGATAAAACTAATTAAGGAATAAAATACAGTTACACAAAAGGAATAATTCATGTAACACCAGCAATCAAACGACTGACTACTTTAAATACGCTAGAAAACGTGCGTGTAGTAGGAAAGAGTGAATTATGAAGGATGAAAAAACTTGATCTACATTACTATAGAATAGAAAAAAATTTGGATGGCAGTGGAATCCAAAGAAACATTTTTCGTCTTATTGGGTATCAATCAGGTGAATGTATTTACATCTTAAACTAAATGTCCACTTAGGGACTTGATTTACTCTAGTTTTAAATATAAAATTATCTGCGTCTGTGAACGATTTTGATGCGAACACACACTAATAACTATGGTTCATGGTAAGAGGAAAAATATTATAATTACAATTAAACCTTACATAAAACTATTATAAATAAACCATATTTCACATTAAATTTAGATGAAAATTGGTGACATTTGTCAGACATTTTTCATTAAAGTAGTATAAATAGATTTGTTAACTAATTAATATATCCTCTCTTCTACAATCATCAAAACTTTTAATGTTCTGAACTAAATATCACCCATTTTCGGCAAGAGACCTTTCAAAAGAACACTATATATTCAGGTAAACATTGGCAAGTATTTTCATGTAAATTCTTAGATTTATTCAGTGATAAAAAGCCGAAACATATGATGTAAATTCATTCAAAGACCCCATATAACTATTGTTGTAATCTCTCTTCATAGGAATTCATATAATAATTCGTTTATCATTTTGAATCACTAACATTATATTTGAAATGTCGGATATGATGTATCGTATATCCAAACTCTATGAATTGTCCGAGAATAAATACTAAGCAATAGGAATAGCTGGGTTGTAATAAGAGAGAATTATAACAAAAACAATTTTAAACTTTTTGAGAAACATACTAATAACATTTTAAGATTTCATTGAAAATAAATTCGGATTGGTTTTATCTGAGGTTTAATACTAATGTTAATTCTAGATAGTTTCAATGTTTATTGAACATATTTACTAAGGGTTCGAATCTCGCAGGGGACGAGGTCGTGGACGCGCACTGCTGAGGAGTCCCACAATAGGACGAAACGGTCGTCCCATGCTTCCAGGTTTTCCATGGTGGCCTAGCTTCAACTGACTCATGATCTTAACCATTGAAATTACTATAATATCCACAAAACCCATCTGAGATTTATTTGTGTTGTACAAATTGTCTATTTGGTGAGGAGCTCAATTGACATGAATAAATGAAAATGGTTGGTACTTAACTATTCACCTTGATATGGTTAATTATTGATTCAAGTCAATTTTATGTAGTTATTCTAAATAGAAAATCACTACTAAACTGTCACTTCCGACTAGAATAATACAAATAGCAATTCAAGAGGATGAACAAATCATGCTGATTTTTAATCCATGATCTCAACAGAGAAAACATATATGTTAGTTTTTTATTTATTTTTAACACATAGGCATTTGTACAAGGAGGCAACAAATACATATGCGCCACACGAATCTCAATTGATTTGTGTGAGGGCTGTGATACTGCTCGGGTGCCCAAACCGAAGCACGTAGTTTTCTTAGGGGGCAATACCCCGAGCCTTCGACCTGAACGTCTGACCCACAAGGCAGTGGAGCATCGTAAGGAGATGCAGTCCCATGGTAGCCGGTGACCAACGATTGGTTCATACGCCATTTGTTCCTTCAGTATACTGGAGCCCATGTGCACCATTGGTTTGAGATCCGGTTAAAGCGCCGGACATTCGCTTTTCGTCCTCTCATTTTCGTAAACAACACCCCCGCCACGAAAAGGCAGTGAGTAGGACTTCCCTGGCAGGGGCTATATACGCGTGGCCATGTGAGAGTATTTCGAGAAGGAGAGAGGACTCTCCCCACTCTCGACCGTACCAGGGCGTTTGGGGGCATATATGTTAGTGGATTAAATCTACCATTTTTTTAAGTATTGTAATTCAGAGGTAAGAATAACAGGTTATTTCATTACATAGAATGTGAATTTCTATAGAGATTATGTCATCAATTTGTTTAATAAAAAAAGGAATATATTCTGTTGTTAAGGAAAATCTTAGAATAAATAAATTGGACTTCACATTCCCAAAATTAATATTTGTTTATCAAATAACTTATTCTTAGTAAGGAATACCTGAAACGAGTTGAGGATGATACTAGCAATGTTACTTGAATAAGTGAAGAATTAGTCATGGCATGGTGTGGAAGTTCAACTCTCACAAATCCACCATACACCAAGTGACAATCTCCTACTGTCTTTGATAGGTGTTTTCTTCACTCTCGATATGAGTGAACCTCACTGACCAGGGTGCGGTAGTGCATGTCCAGAACTACGGAGTCCCATACTAGGACGAATCAGATATCCAGTGTCTCCAGGTTTTTAATGATTCCAATACAATTTACTACCAGGGTCAGCTTCAAATGACAAAAACCAATATAACAGGGGTATATATACATATGTTAGATTGCTGGATACAGTTAGTAAGAAGCTACTCAGTCCCCTATCAACGAACGTTATCTGAAATCTCGAAGGAACTGGTCATCCCAGGAAGATATGAACACACATCGACAAAACTCCATAGTCGAAGACGTTACCATTGAGGTTAGTCGGTAAACGAACGTCATTACCAGATACCAGCTAAAAACACCGATTGCTACATATATACTTACTTTATTTTGCATCATCCAATTATTAAATTTGACATCATACGATAATGATTCATTTTTATCCAATTCATTCGATGGGACATCTGAAAGAAAGGAGTACAAATGTAAAGAAAATAGAACCTGGAATAATTGAACCTTTAATAAGGACATCGTGAAATTAATAATCAGCACACTAGCATTATTAAAGACAAAAAATGCTGTAGAGAAAATTTTTAAAAATTATGTTAAATATATACAAAACAAGGAATTAATTAGTTTTATTTTAAGCATATGCGCATGGATACGCTATCAATGACAACGAAGCCCTTAGAACAAATGTGTGTTAGCTCAACTTTCTATACTACAGCAGAATAACAAAACGAAATTAACACGTGAACGAGTCGAAATAATGATGGTAGAAATAATAATGAGAAAGAATATATAGTGGGAACATAGCCCAAGAAATCACTTCACTAACTAGTGATGAGAACTTGTATGGATGCTACTGCAGAGGTCAACACCAAGGTGAAACGCCTATCCATTGATCTCTAGTTTTCAGTTGTAGTCAAAATAAAGCTGATCAGTAGGGGATATCGCCTACCAACAAAAAGTGATGTTCACCAAGAACTTAAAAATACGAAACAATCTGAATATTGAACAAGAATATATAGTGAACAAAAAACACAGACATACATGGAACTTACACAATTTGGAGATATCTGCCACGAGGAAATATCCTCCAGTGGGTTTTACTGCTATCATTCCTATTTCATTCAATTTCTTAACCATATTTCGACCTTTCGGTTCAATCAATGCACACATCTCATTAAAATACGATTCATGTGTATTCAATAACGGTAATTCAATCTCTAAACTTCGTGCAACAGCTTCCTAGAATAAAATTCGAAATAAAAATAGGAATAAGGTGAAATGAACTACGCTTATAAACACCAATCAGAGTCTACATTACAGACTTATTTAACATGAGTCTTTAATGTAGACGCCCCCGAATGCTTTGGTACGGCCGAGAGTGGGAAAAGCCAACTATCCCTCTCCAAATGCTCTCACATGGCCACGTGCATACAACCACAACCAGGGAAGTCCTACTCACTGCCTTCTCACAGCGAGGGTGCTGTTCACGAAATTGAGAGGACGAAAAGAGAATGTCCGGCGCTTTAACCGGGTTGATGGACACGGAGGGTTCACCTAAGGAAGTTGGAAAACCCTGATTCCAAAACAATAGCGTACATGAGCTTCAGGACCCAGAAGGGACAAATGACGTATGAACCAATTACTGGTCATCGGCTACCATGGGACTGTATCTCCTGACGTTGTGGATTAAACCTCTAGGTCGAAGGCTCCGGGTGTGGCCCCCTTAGAAAACCACCTGTTTCGGCTTGGGCACCTGGACAGTATCACAGCCCTCACACAAATCGAATGGTTTATGTGGCGCGTATATATTTGGTGCCTCCCTGTACTAATGTTTATGTTTAAACAAATAACTCATATTAAATGAAGAATCTATGAAAATCACAAGAGAACTAAGCAACTGTTTTATCCTAGCTTGGAAACTTGCAAGCAGTTCTTGTACCATACAGATAAACATGACAATGTATAGGAAGTGAGACACCTATACCACTCGTATCAAATAGTATGTTATGTCTATGAATTAAGTTTTTGGCATTCTCGACGAACATACTGTTGCTTCATTTAACAACCGTAATATAAATTAATTTATTCAATTAACAACAAATGTAACATAAACCATACTACTAAATAATGAAAATTGATATTGTAACTGAAATGCTATTTATTACTTGTAAAGGAGTTGGACATGTATACACTGTATTTTGTTGATGCAATTGCATAGCCTGTATTAAATTAGCTGGTCCAATTGTCCAACCTAGTTTCCAACCGGTTACACTGAATGTTTTGCCAGCACTTCCAATAGTCAGGGTACGTGACCACATACCAGGCAAAGAGGCTGTGAAAATAAACATAATTAAGCTTGAATTCATTTCCAAAACAACGTATAAAGTTACACAAAAGATAATTACGCCAAATTTGCCTGATATAGTTAAAAACTGACGAGGAGTCACTCAAAATCAACGTTTACAGAGATTAGTGTGAATTTGAAATGGGAAATATTGGTCACCTACCTGATAAGCATTTGTGAAAGATGTGTCCTTCATGTTTTAAAATGACGAATTTAAAAACATACATTAAAAAAATTTTAATAATTGCTAACACTGAAGTAGAGGTCATGTTTTTCGTGCCACCTAAAGCTCATCAGTTGAATTTACCTTCGTAACAGTGTTGATGTTCGAATCGAGAATCGATCATAATACAGATCATTTAGAAACACAATAAAGAATTCGCTACTGAAACACTGAAAAACCATATCCACTAGCGTTCACCGTATGTGATGAAACTATTTCCAAGAATACTCTTGATGAAAAAATTTCTAAATTCGGATAGAGTTGTACCGGGAGCACAAGTCAAAAGAAGCTTAACAAATGCAGCCAACAATACACAGAATTTACAATTGCTGCTGATTACAAAAACCCTGAACTTAAATTAGTTACACAGCGGACTTTCCTAGCCACGCCTTAGATAGTAAATCAAGGTAAACAGGTACAAGACTTTATATCCATAAGATATACACAACCAAAAAACTGTTAACTTCACCCTATGATAAATGATCGGTTAACATTTCGAGTATTTTGGATTAACAGTGTTTACATTATATTGGAATAACATATACATATACTTTATTCAGAGGAAACAAGTGTACAAAAAGACATTGAAATAATCATTATTTGTACACAACTTCAGCACTAAATAAAACGGAGCATTGGTTAACCACGTACCGATTTTAATATGATGATTAGGCGGAAATACTAACCATTCATAAACTTCATCTGAAATACACACCAAATTATGACGAATACATACATCAGCGATACTTTCCAATTCTTCTCTATTAAATACCTAAACGTTTGGGAGGAAAAATCATAAAACACTTGAACACAGATTGATCGCATTGAGTAGTGGTGCTTTCTATAGTTGCTGATCGAATTCACCTGACCATGTGTGACCTCTAGTCTAATTGACTTAACTTCAACCAAGTTCTAACATCATATAGTTATAGACAATGCACAAGAAGCTGAAGACTTAGACTTCATGCCAGGGGGCACACAATAGCTAATTACATCCACTTTATATAGGGAAATGATATTGTTTAGTGGCTCGCCATCGGACTCCATTTGGATCGTATGAATGATTGTTATTGAAATATATATATCACCAGTACTCGCATATAATTATCGACTTAAATCGCGTTGGTGAATAACGAAATGAAATAAGTCAAATACGAAAATGGATTTTTGAAGACGTATACTCCGTACAATCGTTGATCGGAGAAGGAAGCAAAACAAAACACTGTTTAACCAAGCCTGAACCGATATTGATAGTCAGACAAAAATAAGTTACAAACATGTGATGAGTAAGATGAGAAATGCACACACATACGCTTACATAAAAAGTCAAGGTTGATAAGCGAATAATTAACAAGGTCAAAATGCGACTCAAGAAGAATGGATAACTTGGCCTGTCCGGGAGCTACAAAAGGTATGTGGGCTTGACATAGCAACCAACACTACGGTTCCCCTAGAAAGATCTGAAACACAGACACCTGAGCTACTCGAATAAGTCATAAGAGGAATGTTTTAACAAAGAGAGAAGTCAAATCAATTACATATTTATTATTGAGAATAGAACAGTTACAACTTACTTTACCCAAAGGATTATGTGGTGTGTTTAATAGCAACACTTTGGTTTTTGATGTAATTTTCGATTCCAATTCTTTGATATCTAATTTCCAACAATCACTGATTAATTCTTCACCGTCGTCTAATTGCTACATAAATTGATCATACAAGATTCATTGAAAATTAAGAGCAAACTACGGAAGTAAACAATTGGCTTAGAGCAAGCCAATGGTGAATTGTTAAATTGTTATAAAGTCACAGTGTAGATATCCGATGAATATATCGTTTACAGCTGATAAAGTAGGTAAAATAACGGAGGAAACGCTGCCAGTTCAGTAAATTCTGAAAGCATTTTACTCGGAAATGCATGCCGTACTTAGAAGACAATTAGAACGTACGAGTAAGAGTTAGTATATTGAATTTAGATTTAGAAAAACTGTAAAATCTAATACCATCCGTCTTAAGTCCTAAACCCTAAATTACAAAGTGTAGATACTGATTTTGGTATTAAAATCTAAACTATGTTTCCTAATTTTAACACAAAATTATTAACTCTACATCTTAAGCACAGCCCAAAATGCTAGTCAGTGGCAACATAAATCCCTCATTTACCTTTGCTGCATTCTGATAGCCTGGATATGTTAACAGCTCGCCAAGGTCATAGACATGTTTGCTTCGGCTCGCCTTTGCAATTCAGCTTTATAAGTTTTTCACTAACTTCAAAACAATGACATAGTAGTTTTGTGAAAAATGCATCCATTTCAAAGTAATTCTAATCATTGTATCATGTTTTGAGAGATTCCAGAGTCTTGACTTCGATTACTCATTTGTTTGCATGTTAACTGAAGAATCCTTAGGCTATCGTATCTATTGATACTTAATTTTTTAAGATTATTTAACTAGTATTGTCTCATGATGAATACGAACTTCATATAACGCTATATAAACATGTTTTTGCCATGATCTGCAGAGTTATTATGGTAATTTCATGTTAATATCATCTTTCAGCAATCATATGGTATTGAAAACTTGAACCGATGCACAGACCTCCTAGATCCTAAGTTGCTTCAAGCAGAATGATAAATATTGAAATTCATTTTTAAATGTTACATATATTGAAATGAGTTCACAGCATTGTAATTTCACTGAGTTACTTCTAATTAGTATAGAGGCTAATGGCGGGCATATATTTTATCCTACTTGGAACTAGTCAGTTTGATAATACCTCTATGCCAAGGTTGATGTTCGCGCTGAGACTTATATCCAGCCCCAATAGATACTAATCCAAACGTAAAATCACACACACCACGTATAATTAGTCTCAAAACTTCGCATATAAATTCACAGGCGAATTCCGACAGTTCAATTAAATTTATTTCGACTCGAAAAACAAAAATTCCAAATACGAGTTGGGTTAGAATCACTGTTTTAAAGAGTCAATTGACTTAACAGACCACCAAACGCTAGCAGTCAAACAGGACACAGAAATAGAATGTGTAGAGTGTGCTTTGAATATCCCCAACAATGTGTACATGAGTGAGTCATAAATTATTAAGTGACTGAGTTTATAATAAGAGGACAGATAACTCAGTAAGTTAAATATAAAGTGTTAACCAGGCCATCCGAAACTTTTGGATTCGATCCCCGGTGAAATCGTTAATACAGACCTTTAACAAATCCTAAAACTATAACGAAGGAGTTGCTCTAGTCCTTATCGATTTTCAATAAGTATTTTCAGTCGATATGATGAAAAGTAATTTTAACAAAATTAACTTAAATGCTACCGACCGGTCGAAGTGGTACATAAATCGGTACACCACCAGCCATTATTGTCATTGGAGTATAACAATCAAAACTTGGATCCATAATTATCACTTCATCATCAGGATTAACTAGTGCTGAAATAGCCGTAAACAGTGAACCGTAAGCACCAACAGTAATAATAACTTCTTTTAAAGGATCAATTTCTCTGTCTGGTCCAAATGAGTCTACTTGAAGACTCCCAGATTCACCGTACAGTTTACGATCGCATCTTAAAAAACTTGTATACAGTTTAGATAACACAGTCACTAAACGCGGATGACCCTGAAAAAAGAGAAAAATGCATATTTCAGAAAAAACTACCAGTGAAGCATAATCGTCAACAAAATCAACGAATGAAGGGGAAGTAAGATATGCAAACAATATGAAGTCGGTCTCAGTAGCACAGTTGCATTCATTTTATTATCTTTTTAAGAATTTAAAGCTCCGTTATTCCATACTTCTCATTCACTGATCTCACTTTTTCTCTTGTGTAGAATTGAGATGGAGTTCAAATTTACTACTCTTATTTACTTCATAATCAGGTTACCCCCCCCCCAAAAAAAACTGTGCCGATATGAGGTGTGACCACTAAAATCAAAATATATTTGTCAAGGCTCCAACATGAATGATCGCTTACTTCACCGATTAAATAAATACACCATCACGGTGATCAATATATATCAAACTGAAACAGTTCACCATATGTTTTGGTCGATCTGAATCGCAGTATGGGCACTATGGTTTACGAACTCCCTCTAAACATTAGGTTTTATCATCATTATCATTATATTGAACTTCTTATTGCTAAAATTCCATTCATATCTTTTGAACTACGCTTCCAAGGTTTATTTTATCAAGACTATTGATATTTTTCTAGTGTCTTCGCTTAGCAAAAATTAGAAGATTGAACAATTAATTCCACAACCATAATTATATTCTCCTTACTGTTCCTTTAATAAAATGAAGTTTTGTTATCTATCAAGTACAGGTAAGAGCTATTACATAACTCCTCAATAAAGCATATCATGAAGGCATCAGTTGAGGAAACTTTACACGTAATTCAACCATTTCAATTAATGAAGGTTTATAATCTCCTACCAATCAATACACAAATGAATGCAACTGATAATCAGTCAAACCTCTCTTAAACTATGTTTATTAACCATTGTGTTGAATGGTTAAATATGTATAAACTTAAGTACGACATCAACAACGTGTAGTGCGAAGCAATTTAAACATTACACAACACATCGAGGTGTAAAAACACTTCGTAGTAGAACAAAACCTACATCCTTTCTAGGAACTAATTGGTACAAACACATTGATTATGAAAACATGATCAGAAATTAGTAAATACCGATCCAATAATCAAAACGAATTCAATTTTACGGTTTCATGAAACTGTCAAATACATTTTTCATGAAGTCGTGACATAACAGAAAAAAGTATATTTCAATAATAATTAATTCACTTACCATAGATCTGGTGTATTGATGAAGAAATGGGCTAACATCGGGTTTTCCAAGCATGGTTAAACTTTCAAGAACATGTTGTTTTGGAAGAATGTCCGGAAAACCCTATAAATTACGATCAAATTATTGCTTCGTAACAGAACAATTGTTTACGTTATATATATATATATATATATATATATATATATATATATATATATATATATATATATATATATACAACGATATTAATCATTTGACATATAATAGATGGGATCTGACTAGCAGTGAAGAAAAGGATGTGTTCCGTCCAATATTTGACTCGTCAGCTGGATGTACTTGCCTCCTGGAGTTGCTGCTAAGTCAGGGACTCGAACCCGGTACCGTTCACTTCGAACGCTATAACGTCATTCACTTGACTACTGAGTTTAGATAGCCACTGACTTGAGAAACCCGGTCTCGGGATGAGCACATACCCTGGGATGCAAGTATATGCATCTGATGAGTCCAAAATAGGACGAAACATGCATTTTGAATCCCACTGTTAGCAAAATTTTATTTACCCTACATTAAATTCTGATACAATAGCTAGGTGATTCGCACAGGATGTATATATTTCAAATAAGACTGATCAAATTACAGTCAAAATATCAACAAGAGGATAATCGAAACCATTTTACATTGAAAGAAATTTGATTAGTTTCATCTTTCAATTAACAGTAGAATTTACCTGACCTAAATTGACTGGTTTGTATTTAGCCACCGCATGATTAATTTCCACCCTGTTCAAAAGAATAACAAATCAATACAATTACAATGAACGATTAAAATATAATTCAGATCATAAGCAAATGAAACAATAATGATCGGTACAAGAAAGGATAGCTTTCATCGTGAATCGATAACTAGAAAAGGAGTGTTGACTTGAGGCGGTGCATTTCTGAGTTAAAGTAAAGGCCTAACGAGAGATGTAGTGATAGACTAGTATAATAGATTAAGTTATAAATAATAAGACGAAACCACAGCATTACTTCATGAAATGATTATGGAAACAAATCATATCAAGAGCTATAGACGTTTTGGTTAGGGTTCGAAATAATTGTAATCAATGTTTGAAATTCACAGCTGGCATGAATCCAAATCGACTGTAATACAACAGTAGGATTCGTTCCCAAGACGAGTAGTTCACACTTTTTTTCATTTTTAAATTTCATGTTCTTTCTAAACCAGAATTCCTTTGTTTAGTTTTCACTATCATTAGAATTACAATTCAAACTTTATCGTTTTACATTCGATTGATTTTCCTTTGCTGTTAAGTGGGGATATATGAATTGACAGAAAGTTGTACCAGACCATATGTTCTTGATGAATAACTGAGAAGCAGATAGAACGTATAAGTCAATAGAAATAGACATCTTCTAGACGTAATAGCTCGCAACGTATCATTGGTATCAATGAACAGAAACAAAACACAATGAAATGAACAACCAAGACACATGTAGATAAAAAACAAATAACTATGGTTGAAATAAACCGATAAAACGCGGAATAAATGCAATTGTTTTAGATTTGAAACATGCCACCAGCATTAATTTTCTAATGACTGTAAATACACCATGCTGACAAGTCACAACTAACACTAAACCTATGTACCTAAATATCTCCAACCACTTAATATCTTAACACATTGTGAGCAACCATGAACCACTAAGATCAGTGAGCAAATCGCAAATTTTGGTCGATCGAGTTCACTCAGCATTAAAGACTAGGCAAGCATGATGTTAGTCACTATAAAGTAACCAATTCATATACGTCTTAATTAGTGAATGCTTAAAGCTTTATATCCAAATTTAAATTAACTAAAAGAGAATAAACTCTTGTATTTACACAGTTTTATTGAAATTATCAATATTCGGTCAAATATTTAGAATATGAACAAGTTGGTGAAAATTAACGAGTTTCTTTTTAAATCAAAGAACATTTCAAATGCCTAGTTGAGTATATAGATACATACCAAATACTGGGTTTTTGCTTCAAAATACGAGTAGCTGGAAGAATCATAGCAGATCGTGTTTCATTAAGCATATCTGTACAATTCTCTTTAGCCTAATTAGAAAAATAAAATAGAAAAGATATGCCATTAATAATATTACACTAATACGCATAAATAGTCAACAAATCGATATATATGATCATTAATAAGCAGCTAGATACACAATAAGAGATCAGGAAAATATATACACTGAATAATGTTTACAAACATCAGTAATCCGGAAGTCATATTAACTAACCACATATACATGGAAGGATAGGTGTTTACGAATTAAGACTATTATTCATTACCGAGTCAAATTCGTGTTTTGCATAATCTCAGTAGGTTTTTGATCATTTCAACTGTTATTTTGCAGTTGCTCGAGACGAATCTTAGAAAATCAAAAATGTACGATAAATATATATGTAGGTTTCTCAATCGACACATAATTAGTCGTTAACAGGTTTGTTAATTGCATGTTGTTACAAACTTATCAACTTAGATAAATGCGTAGTGATGTTTATGACTTTTCTTATTGAAATTAAAAGTCGATGTTGGTTGATACTAATCACAAGCTACAGCGATTATTTTACTCAACAGCTGGAAATGAAAGTTGACCAAACTCATATTTTGTAAGAACAGATAACAGTCTTTCAAGCTATTTTATTACAAAAAAATGCAGCCTTAGTTAGCTGTTTTTTTATACATTCCTTTCAACTTTTCCTATTTCACTCAACTGTTCTTTTCTACACATAGATCATTCTTTGTAGCATCGAAAATGCTAAACATTCTGTTAGTTGCCTTGTACCACATTTCAAATTTATTAATGATAATTTCGGGTGGTGATCCATACAATGTCGATTATCTTTTTACTAATACACCAATAATCGTACAAATTTGTTACGACCAGTTTTCTTCCTTCCACATAGATGATTGAAAAGCGAATAGTATAAGCTTACGAAAATATTAATTCGCTTAATCGACTTGTTAGTTGTGAGAAATAAAACTACATAGTAGACTGAATCACCCATCATTTTGTATTTTCTGCAAATTACGAATGCAACCTTTCTTATATTGATAAACTAAACACGATCTTGAAAGGTGACCTAGTTTACTTTGAAAATTTTTGTCACGTAACAGGCAACGTGAATTTCAACCAAATGGTTTAAATTAAACAACTCAGAAATAATTTAATATATAAAATATGGAATGTGGCTATCAGTGCAATCTAGAAAGAGCGTGTCATCCTAGTTGGGAATTGTTAGATGGATGTACCTGCATCTCAAAGTTGAGTTCGAATCCCGGGACATCAACTCTGGGATGCAGGTACATCCATTCGACGAGTAAAAAATACGGCAAAAACGCATCCTGGATTCGATTACTAATCACATTGCACCTAATCTATATTAAGTTGTGTCACTATGGTTATATCCAGGAAATCCGCAAAGAATGCACATGTGCCAATTAAGACTGGTCAAATGTCAATCAAAATATCAACAGGATAATCCAAACCACTTCAAACGTAATCAGAAATAACCGTAGTTACGACCTTAAAATCCAAATCAGAGAGAAGACAGCTGCTTAAGAAAATCAGAAACATTCTAAAGAACTAAAACATGAATGAAAATCAGTTCGTGTCCAAGTGTTATACAGCTATGCTTTAATATTCTTGAAAGTATAGGCACTACATGGTTGATAAAAATGACAGGACCAACTGATTTAGTTTAGAATTCAAAATTGCATACTGTTATGCAGTTATTCGTTATGAGTGAAGATCTAACCTCCTATCGTTTCATTTAACATAAATAATTTAATCAAGTTTGAGGCAGGGCCGAGTTTCGTATCAGCCTAGTTCGTTCTTCTGGCTCTAGAAAAGGCGGTAAGGATAAGTCGATGGGTAGATGCATTAACTGATAATGCAAGCAACTAACATGTCATATTCAACGATAACATTCATACCCGCCTACTCACTGATGAACAATACACTTTTTCGCTCAAGCAGTCAGTTGGGGGATTAGTGCGTAGCATACCGTGTATCAGTATCAGATTTCGGATACCGCACGTCACAACATCGTGCCCTTAGAATTGGTCATTAAGAGAGAAAAACTACAGACGGCAGTCCATACTATAATTTATCATAGTAACTCGATTGTCAATCTCAAAAGTATTACATTCCGAATAATATAAGAAATAATATGCAGATTATTAAGAAAGAAATAATGACTTTTTGTTCAACATACAAATAAATCAAAGTCTTTCTCTAACACTTTCACAATATCTAAATTATATTCATTCATGAAAGCAATAAATAGAATGATTTTTAAATACAATTTGGCAGTACTATAGATGAGTGGAGAATATAACCAATACACACACACACACATTCACAAACAATGTCGAGTCAAGACAGTTTGAACATTGAACAGAAAAGGGAAACGACCGAAATGAAATCTTAAAAATAAACAATTGTTCCAGAGTTTTTATTAAAATTTCAAATACTTATTAACCATGCGATGTGGATTAATACCAGGAAAATATGACCAACATATACAAACACTATAAATCCAGTAGAAAATACTATTTACAAAGAAAATACACGAGAACAATAATAATAAAAGTATATTTAAATTGAATAGGAAAGTAGCTGGTTATTATAAACAAAATACAGTGTACAGGATTCTTATTGTTAGTTTACTGCTATTGCTATTATTACTACTGGATGTTATCATATCGACAATCAAACCCTAATACTGATTTGTAGAAATACAAATACAAGCGAGCAAATGATGGTTCCGTTGATGAGTATACATGAAACAGATACTTTATTATTGTTACTTGACTCTTTTCATTCTCTTGTGAGATTTTTCTTTCATATGTTTTTTGTGCTTCTTATGAACTGATGATGTTGAAGGTGAACGATTCAAAGAAGATCTCCTGCCATCACTACTATGATGTTTATTTCGTTTAGATTTTCTATGACTGTGATATTCAGATAGACGGGAATTTTTATAATTATTTTTAGACCGAGATGAATGATGCCCTATTGGAGAAGAGGACCGTGAATGTGAAGAGATTGAGCTAGAGGATTGTCTTCGCGTTTTACGTCGATCGTGATGGTGCTGATGACGATGGATAAGAGATGAAGAGTCGTTGGAATGTGATCTGAAATGTAGAAAAGTAAACAGAAATTAGAAGTTGAATGAAAAGTGCTTGATATCTCCAGTTAATAATTGGTAACAGCTTGACAATTCACATAGATACTTTACAATTAATAGTATTGAAATTTCACGTCCTCTATATCACCACGCTTAAATCCACCTACACAAAAGATTCTCTATAAGTGTCAACAACAAATAAAGTAATTTCGATAGTGTAATAAGAAGACGATTATCAGAGCTATTTGATATATTAGCGCAATACATTTCGAACAAACTGATCACATATATACTTGTTAAGAACATTTATATATAAATATAAAAGGTTAACTAGACTAGAAATGAAGGGTAAGAGGAGACAAGGATAATATTAGCTTATTATTCAGAGTGATGAGGTTTCAAATTGTCTTCACATTATTTCTTTATTATCCTTGTCTCCTATGACCCTTCATTTCTAGTCTAGTTGACCTTTTATTTTTATATATAAATGTTTTTAACAAGTATATGTGTGAACAGATTGTTCGAAATGTATTGCGCTAATATATCACCTAGATCTGATAATCTTCGTCTTCTTATTACACCATCGGAATTTATCAAAGGGACTAATCGCTAATAGCGTTTCCGCATAAACCTAAATCCTAACCCGTACCATCAACTACAAATCATAAACCTTATTCTTCACACTGCTTTATAACCCTCATTTATCTCTAATAAGTGGGTGGACATCCTCAAGGTCACTTTGGCGTCGCTCAAAGGTCGTCCATAGATTATAGTCTCACCTTGACTTTTTAATGGAATACAAATTTATCCTGAAAATCTCGTTCTAGTGAACGAGAACACCAGTGAGGATAACCAAATGAATTTTAATACGGCATTACAGAATATCTTAGTAAAACCTGAGAACCGTACAGTGAATACTTCATTTGCAAAATATCTATCAATTGTCTCATACTTTGTTATTCGTTCGTTTCCAATCACTCTCTGTTCTCATTCTCTTCTCTTCTATTTTCTCAACCTTATGCCGTCAGGTATTCCACTTTCGATTGGTGATACATACAAGTTATATCTGTCGACATCAGTGGCACATGCCACACTGTCTTCTCTACTAGCCATGTGGATTATCAACGTTGAAGCGTTGTCATGTATTAGACATCTGGTCTATTCGAATTACCATCAGTTGGGTTATAATATAATATTCAAACTTATGTAAACAGAATTTACCGTTGACCAACTGGGAACTCCGAATATCGATATTTCACATACAGAATAGATATGTTTAATATAATGATTAGTAAGCATATAAAGCATAACAGTATTAACATCAATTTTCATAAGCTTAGAACATGATGTATATCGATTCACTTATCAATATTAACCACAAGTAATCAACACGTAAATTAAAATAAATAAGCACCGAATGCACTTTATTATAGTCACTCTTACCGATAATCATTACAATGGAAATTAAACGACTATTTACAAAATTATTTATTGTTGGATTGGGGATGAGCGAATTCCATATTTTGGTAATTTTTGAGAAATAAGGAATTTTCAAAACGTATTATGATTTCGTGACAAACAAATGTAAAATTAGACCATATTAGCTAGTAATCATTCAAAGTTTAGCTTACTTTACTGTCGAAAAACGTCCACGATCACTGTGACCATTAGTATCCACTGGACTAATAAGTCGACCTACATGACGCCATAAAGTTTTTTGCAAATCATTACTGGTTTCTCCAGGATTAAGAAATACATGTAGAAAATTACAATGAAGGTCTCCTTTAGGACATTTACCTCGATGATAAAGACCTGAACAAATAAGAAAAGATAAGACTGATATTTATCACTGATTGAAGAGGATAGGTTTTGTTGTTATGATATAAATGGAGAAATGAAACTATTAAAACGTGGTACTACAATTTTGTTATAAACAACACTTCACGAAACGAATGATTAACACCCCACTATCTAATTGTATACAGGTAAAAACTAGGAAAAAATGTTGGGTAGATTTCTCTCGATTGATAGTATTAGACATTGCACAAACCTAATATGTATGTGTTCACGCAACAGTTTATCCAAAGTTATGATCATTACAATTAATTGCCAACACTTGCTCTCCTTACTCTGAAATGATTACGAAGTATTGAATAACTGGTTGAGTAACAACAAGCATAAACTACAGGACTTTGAATTATTTTCAATTGTTAAGACCAAATATACGGAGATCTTCAAAAAGAATTTAGTTACACAAGTATTTAATCAATAACACTGCGAAGTCAATCAGTAGCCATAAAAACAATGTCGATGGTCTATTACAGATCAGTAACTTATAATCCAGTTGCATGACAGAAGTTTATTTCATGCACAAAATGAAGTCAACTACTCAAATATTTACGATAAAATCAATAAAAACTTAATGAGACAAATTAATTTCTAGGATAATTATTCTCAGTGTTAGATCTGTAGCACACATGTCTTCCCCCCTTGTCCTTCTTTGTGCATTATTATATTATTTAATAATCTTCAGTAGTTCACGTTACTACCATCTATTTTTGAAAACCGGTGACGAGCTGCTAGTCACTAAAGTTAGTATATTTATACTCATTCAGTGTTTCGATTCATTTTCTCACTCGTAAATGAGATGCTTTACTGAAACCTGAAGAGCCACTACGACCATCATACTAATGTATAGGTGTTTATAAACAGTTGTTTACCCAAGATACTTCAGATCCGTTGGACAGACACTATCAGCAATAACCTACTGTAGCAAAGAACAAACCAGCTTCCAGCTCAAGGGGAAATTACGAAATGACGCTGGAAGTGGATAGACCCCACTATGTGGAAATCACAAGCCAAGCCTCAATTCGGAATCTTCAGGATAAAAGGAGATAGGCTAAAGAAAAAGTGGCGCCGAAAATCGAAGACAGACACTAAAAGAATGAATAGTACTTGGCGACAACTGGAGAGGACAGCCAAGGGTAGAGTAGGCTAGACATCCCTAATTAGAGGCCTATACCCCACGAGGAGTAACAGGAATCAGTAAGCACACATATTACACACTGAATAGCCCGCCTACCCTGAATATGTTTGGTTTATTTCGTTAATTCCTAATACATGTGTGTTGTTCTCTAATTTATAGTACGTGTTGTAATTTCGTCCTTTGGAGGACAAACCTCACTTTTGACTGTATTCTTGAATGCGTAACCGGTATCTGGACACCACACAATTTGAGGTCAGTTAACTTCATTGGTTATTTTTATACAACCACCCCTCGCTTGATAAATTTGGACAATGCAAGAACAACACGGTCAGCAAAATAAAATGAATTCATTTTATTTCACAACTTATCATCTGAGTTTCAAACAGGCTAAATTTACAAGGTATATTATGATTGTAAACAAAAGTTTAGATGTTTTCGAAAGAGAACTGAAATTTACAAAAGGTACAGAATACAAAATATAGTATAAAACATAGTTAAGATAGGTTTTTTGGAAACAGTCGGTTTTTATTCTCTTTAAAATGACCCTTTCTATATTTTGCAATAAATTTCTTTAAGTATCGATTTTTCTTGAGGTTCTTTTAGATGAATGTTAATTCGTCATTCATCCCGTTGTTTGGACAAAGCATCATATCTTCATAAAATAGCGTTTTAACCAGACAAAGTTTGCAGCTTGAAGGAATAAACTCATTTTATTCTGCGAACCTTGGTGTTCTTGTGCTGCCTAAACTTACTGGTCAAGTTGTTTTCCTTAATAGTACCGTTTCCAAGAAAAATCCTGTATTTCGATTTCGAGAACTTCAAGTATCACTTGTCTGCTTGGTCAGAACCTTGGAAGGAATTCTGTACTTTGCATGATAAAAAATAGGTACATGAAAGAATATGGAAAAGAACACCGTTCAACTCACCACAAATAGCCTCTCTCCAACCACCGCCCAATCTAACCACAGTACACGTTAGTTGACGTCCAGCAAACCAACGACCATTGCAAGCTTCAGCAGCATCCCATGCTGCACTTGGACCCCTTGAGAATTCAACATAAACTGCACCACGAAGGTGATCAGCTAAATTGCGACATGTTCGAATGACTGAAATTTTGCCCCATCTAGATTCTAATTCCATACGAACATCATAGTAGAATTCATGATAATCTGAGAGTAACTGACTTTCATCTACTTCAAGACCAGAATCTGAAATTTTATTATTTAAAAATAAATTTAGTTAATCCGTAATGACAATAATTCTGCATGAAACCTAAAACTTATAATGCTATTTCTTAATAATGAATGAATAAAATCACATTTAGTTTTGGGCAGCTTAGTAATCAAAATACTTAACTTTCAATCATAATAGGTTGTAGGGTCGAACCCTTCCTCACCTAATCAGATTTCGACAGCTGAATAATGGAATAAGCCTTTATACAAACAGTATACCTTAGAGTCGATCACATAAGTTTGTATTCGATAAATGAGTTAAATTATTTCTATTATTCATAAATTCCGCTCAAACACTATATTTGTTAACTCAATTATTTTACCACTGAAATAAAATTATCCGTTGAAAGTACCAACCACCGAAAGAGTTTAATCTACCCGGCCTACTTACAAATTACCATTTATTTTATAAACATTCCACAGAATGCAAACCACTAATGATGCACTACAACACGCTGGATCGGTAATAGTCCTATGCATATTTAACTATTTATCATATATGGCGTAATCCTAATATAAATTAACGTATACAAACAGAAAAATACACTCAGTATAGGAATTATGAAGATTGTGGAATCCTTTTGAGATCACGAACCGATCAAAGTCAAAAACTGTTGTAAACCTAAAAGTACTAGATAGCCCTATCGTCCTCGAACTCGCCAACAGAGAGCATCCACGACTCTGTCATAGAGGACGAAACCAACGACCTTCAGTCTTGCGTGAAAACGCGTAAATCCGACTACATTTTTTAACAAAGAGAAAAATTTGCCTTCAGTCGGTAATAAAATCACAAACCTTGATCTTCTGAACCGGTATTTTTTGTTAAATCTAAATGATAGTGTGTGAACATTTTAGGAATTTGTAAAACTAAACAAGAATTATCTATTGGTTCGTCTAAGCCACCAACATCTTGATCATCAGCAATATTGAACGATTCAATAGTATCGTCGTACGGACTTGGATATTGATGAAGACGAGAACAACTACAATGAATGGGTGAAGAGAGGAAAAAACAAACAGTATGACCATCCTTGGCATTGGTTTGTAACAACTTGAATGAGTAATATAAATAAACATAAACGAATAGTAAACAATCTGGAAAATATCAGAGAAAAAGAATCAACAAATGTGTTGCAAGAGCGATTGATATTCTGAAGGTGATAGAAAACAAATATTTGAAAATAGAGTAACTGAAATACGGTTAGCAATAGAATCCAGATATAGTTTCATCCTATCTGGGATTCGACAGTTGGGTGAACATGTTATGTTGATATTCTGAATGTTAAGAGAACACATAATTTCATTCCTTTATTATCTATCATAATCATTGAAAAAGGTGTGATGAAGACTGTTAGCAAATTTATTTCAGCCCATCTGGTCCAAAACGCACTATTCACTCCTTTTCAATAATCTGCCATGTGAACAGTAATCTGTTGAGAACGGATAAACTCTAAATATGGTAAATGGCAACAGCAACATCTTAGATAACTTTTTAAAACAAAGTTCTGAAACCAAAAAGAGGCATGCACAACTACTTTCTTTACAATGGCAAGCCTCTACCATTCATTTAAAATATAATCATCCCTTTTATAAAAAGACGCCATTATACGCGTAGTGTATATGAGGTGTATGCTACTTATGCCTATCGACATAAGTAGTATATAACACCAATCAGAAGTAGAATACCTGGAAACAGAAGGTAGAGACCGAATCGAAAAGAATGGGAACAGAGCAATTGTTATGGTAATGAATGAATGAATGATGAAGTTTGAGACATGATGCAGGATTTGCATATTAAGTACTGGAGGTAGATATATTTCAAACAATTGGCTATAAATTTTGTTCAATTTGACAATGGTGAACTACCGTCCACTGTGACAATTATATTCTGTATCATTCTGAGTGAACGTCGTGTTTACCAGCAATCCTGTGCCCACAAATGCCCTGGTACAACCGAGAGTGGGAAAAGCCAACTATCCCTCTCCAAATGCTCTCACATGGCCACGTGCATACAACCACAACCAGGGAAGTCCTACTCACTGCCTTCTCACAGCGAGGGTGCTGTTCACGAAATTGAGAGGACGAAAAGAGAATGTCCGGCGCTTTAACCGGGTTGATGGACACGGAGGGTTCACCTAAGGAAGTTGGAAAACCCTGATTCCAAAACAATAGCGTACATGAGCTTCAGGACCCAGAAGGGACAAATGACGTATGAACCAATTACTGGTCATCGGCTACCATGGGACTGTATCTCCTGACGTTGTGGATTAAACCTCTAGGTCGAAGGCTCCGGGTGTGGCCCCCTAAGAAAACCACCTGTTTCGGTTCAGGCACCCGGGCAGTAATTCAGCCCTCACACAAATCGAATGATTTGTGCGGCGCATATATATTTGGTGCCTCCTTGTACGAGTTTTTGTGTTTAGATAAAATAAAATAAATTTTATTGATATGATGTTCATTAGCTTATCGTAAAGCGAGTAAAATCAGAATATAAATGAGTGTATTTCGCTTAATGAGGTCATGTCTTCGGAGAGTCATTAAATCTTCATTGTACTAGTCTTTTTTATTCTTACTTTGCGTAGTGCGAATTACAGTGGTTTTCTTTTCCAAGCATAAACAGAAGAACCGCGAATACAATAGAAGTGACACGGCAATATCACATTTATCTTTCCTTAACTTGAATTCCCCAGATTTAATTACTCGGTTCTTACACCTTTGAAATAGTTAACTCATTTTATTTTCTATTAGTATGGGGATTTGCGGAGATTGTAACATTTTCACAGTTGAAATCATGAGTCGATCTCAGAGAGACCACCATTGAAAACCCGGAAGAACTGGACGGCCGTTTCGTCTTAGTATGGAACTCCACAGCAGTGCATATTCACGATCCCACACCAGAAACCCGATCACAGAACCTTCGGTTTCGCGCGCGAACGCTTAACCCCTAGATTACTGAGCCGACATCTACAAGTGTCAATGTCTAACTTCAATCAATCTATGATCTTGCCTAACCCTTTATCCTAATTCATACTACTTCACACATAAGGTAATCTATGATCACAAAATCTGGACTGTTTATCTAATAATATTAATATTCCCCTCACGCGACGCACGTACAACCTGATTCAAGCACATGTTCTGCACTAGTCATATGTAGGCCACCAGTAGTACATTTCATTCCTAGTAAAGCTATTTCTTGGACGAAATGACGTACATTTACCATTCGACTGACTACTGACTGACTTAATGCATCGATTAGCCTTTCATCATAGCCATATATAAATGTCTTACAAGCATAACAAAGTCAGTATCAACCAAGTGATGATGTGTTCGATAACCAGTATTATTAAAAAATCAAAAGTATTCATTAAAATGATGACAGTGTACTATGAATACAGATATACCACGGACTACAAGTCACGCATAAACAGATGTCACTCACAGAAAACCATATCGACATGCTCCTGTTTTACGGAAAAAGCTACATTTTTCCATCACTGTAGAAACAGTGGAACCATGTGGTACTTGCTCAATTACTGGAGGGATAGGTACGGGTGGTGGAGGAAGATGCCAAGGTGGAAGGTCTGAAGACTGCTGTTCATGAACGTCCTAAGAAAAGAAACCAATATTTCTATGAATGCGTAAAATTAGGGAATCAACATGATGGATAAACATTTGGAAGTGCACATCATAATATTGTATGTTTTCATTCATAACATCTAGTTTATTTCTTCGCTCCCGGTAGCTTATCAACTTCAAACTATTTGTTCAGAAAGATGATATTTGCTAAGCTAATTTTTACAAAATATCTCACAAAATACTACTATGACTAGTACTAAACGAGAATCTGATGATAAAATAATAAAAATTTTATATCTGAAATTGTACCAGAAATAAGTACGGTGTATAATAGTTATATAACTGTTCATGTTTCGAATTTTCTAGAAATCTTGTTCAAACCAAACAAGATTAAGTGAAAATATCGTGATGTTATGTTCAGTGCAAATTTAGGAACTAAGATCTCTTTACAGGTTATTGTAAAGACGACTAAAAGAACAACATAAAAATACTTTGTTATTAACTATGACAACAAAGTAATAATATATCCGTCTGATTAATATAATGAAATATTATCAAAGAATAGTTAGAAAAAAGCTTTGTGTTCAATAAAATACAAAGTAACTAATAAGTTCTATATCGGAATCCACATACTTTATTTATCAGTGAATATTTAATGACGATAGTAACTCAATGTGACAGTTGGAGCATAGTTGAACTTTACTCCGAACCCCAGGAAGAACAGCCTCCAACCAGAACCAGTCGATCCCATTCGGATTAAAAATTTTATTATTCGAATTATTAATATGTTTATCCAATAAAACAAACACTTCCCTTTATTCATGACTAAGGTTGTATGTTAAGAAAAGTTTTCGGTAACAAGACAATCATCAAAAGCTTTATATATATATATATATATATATATATATATATATATATATATATATATATATATATATATATATATATATATATATCAAAGTATACACGGAAACAACCCTTCTAGCCATTTTTATTACGGATGCTCACTTTACAACGGTCATCTTATTCCTGCGATAAATAAAAGTGTATGTCTGCTCTCCTCATTTTAGTACTTGTATTTCAAAGTCATGAATGTTCAGGTGTATGATTATGATTAATAAATTTAAACGGATCCTAACCAGAGAAAGCCTTAGAACATTAAGGTAATTGAGTGTTAAGAAAACTTGCATTAAATAATATTAACCTAAATTCACGTCCCGATTGACAATCTGTTATCGTAAAATGGTTATCACCCAGAAAATAACATCTTTCCAAACAAGAAAATCATATCAACCTCACAGAGTAATATTATGCAATTGTGAAGTGACAATTGACATTAACACTGGGATTTTCAGAATACATGACTAATGTCCTAATCAGTTGAAGTTTAAAAACAGAGAAATACGATTTTATGTAAATGTGATCCACTAACTAGCAATCTTGGATAAGTAATATGGACAATTTCAAGTCAAGTACACATTGTTAGCATTTTCCATGGAACACGAAAAATTCACTAAGTTGATATTTTAAAAAAAACACCTGGTTGACTGATAAAAATAACAAAGCAATTATGATATTTCATCATCACGAAACAATGAGAGAGGATACGTTAATATTCTTGTGAATAAAAAATAATGATAACCATAAGAACTCCATGGAAAACCTGTGTTTTTGACTCGGGAATAAATTTCTTGGATTCCATTTGTTTGCTTTCCCACTCCGCTTTAATTTTACGCTAGAAAGAAAAAAAAAGCAATCTACCATATAGCAAACAAATATATTGGTAAACTGATAAATTGACACAATCACATTTTTATTAAAATAATTATTATCATTGCTTGCCACGTACTGAAAGAATTTAACTTTAACTTAAGCAGTCGTGTAGTACACATCACTAGATCTCACAGGAAATGTATGGCTAAAACTAAAGTATATTAATTAGATTATCGTTTTTGTCGAACAGCAAATATGTTGTTAGACGCACATCTGAGTAGCATGCACTAACCAGTACCAACTCGGACGATAAAAGATACAACCAAACTCTACCAAAAATGATCAGCTCTAATAAAAACAAACGACAGTAATTTACATTTTCTTCAATTGACTAACTATCACTGCATCATGATGTTCACCGAAATTAGATTAGGGGCTCTTGTAGAAGTGGGGACTTGGAAGATTTTTACATAACACACATATATCCCTTTGTTAAATGCAAGGGGATCGAGATGAAGAATCAATCTATGATAATTGACAAAAGGCCGAAAACACTGTAACGATTTTGTAACTAACACAACTCATTTTAAGTCGTGACAATCCCAAATAGAAGCAATATGAAATAAATGTACCCTGAAGAGCTACTAGTGATGTGCTATATTTTACACAGAACCAAAGAACCATTCAACACCAGCACAAATCACATGTAATAAGGTCTTAATAGTAGTACGTCAGCCATAAACAAGATAATTTCGGGTATTGTTGGAGGGTGGTTGCCAAGTTCCAAGCGCAGTGGAAGTATATTTTTCCTCGAGAAACCTGTGAAGGAAACTGGGTTAAAAGTGACCACAGAGAACAGTGAAAAACTGCTCAGGGTCGGTCACACATGACCATTTTATGAGTCAGCTCCGTTACTTCAAGAGGTCTTACTTTCGGAGGCGGAAATCCGTAGGATAAGGTGGAATGCGACATTTTCAAGGTTGACCATTTCTAACCCTTTCCTTCCTTCGTGAGAAAGCAGAATCGCTGCAGATACTGGTTGTCACACCTCTGTATAATCAACAGTACTACTTTGCCCGTAGACTTTAAGTCTCCGTTTTTACCCTTACCTTCAACTAACCTCCCTGGCATGGAATGGCCTAAAGGAACAATCATTCGAACCATTATAACTCGATTTGATCATTACAATGGGCAAGCTTGGCCATCACGTCACGGTAGCAGCTATGGCCAGGATAGTAATAAGCAGTCTATAAAACCACTAAAACTATTAATTACTATACGCTAAATCAATTTACCCAAACTTTACGAGTCGGTAAATCACTTCCTGTTCCTGCCTAGAATAACAAGAAACCGTTTATCCACAAAACATAATTTCGACTAGGAATCATATACGACGAAACATAATTTACTGATTATATTGGAATGCTTACTGGCAGTAAAACTTTTTCCAAGGTAACACGATAATCTCTCACTCAATATAGTAGTTTTCTTGAAAGGAGAACTAGATTTGGATCTCCTAGTCACTCCGCCTGGAGTCCCTTTCCGGGGGCTACTGCCGGTCCCAAGCCCGGATAAAGGAGGAGGGTTGGGCATGGGGTTAGCGACCCCATCCCGTAGAAAACTAACTCGCTAAAAAAACGCTAACCAGAAAAAATTATTCAAACCATTTAAACTCTGCCCTGGGAGTCAGGAGGTCTTCGTTTAGAAGAATTATGACGCCTCATGATGAAAGCCGAGTTTCTTCGGAAGTCACGAGGCCGATGCCCAAAAAGCCCAGGACAGAGTGGGTTGGAGAATGCTGGTCGGCGGCCTATGCTCCATTGGGAGTAACAGGCGTAAGTAAGTAAGTAAGTAAGTTACTTACGACGTATTCAGCAGATGGCTATAGAAGGTTTTATTTTCAGAATACTGACGGTGAATTGATTAACTACGTTAAAGTCAGTGGTAAAGCTGTCCATAACAAGTGATAAAATCCGAGACGCCTGAACCGAAAGATTGATCCGTTCTGAATATGACTTACGAATTTCAGTTAAACCAGTTTGATAAAAATAAGGAATTAAAACTTTTTCCCAAAACAGATAGACGTTTTTTAGTGAAGCTACAAGTAATTAAAAGTCCCTGACATACAATTAAAGTTTAACTGGAGCGATATCTTGAGTGGATAGGCACAACTAAGATCGCTCATGTTCAGTTAAATAAGAGGGTACAATTAATTTTCATTCTAAACTAAGAAAACTTATTTATAACTAACATATAATGTTAATCACAATATGGCTAACAAATGTTAGATTACCCTTGTGATAAAAAGTGAAATTCATTAACATACAGATTCATGGATATGTTGTGGCCTGGGCTTTAAATACTACTTGGCTGTCTGAATATAATTGAAGTACGGTGCAAATAACAATTTGCTGAACGCTTAATTCCAAGATGATTTTAACTCAGTTTACTCCAGCAATAAATGAAAGGCTTAACGACTAACCAATTAACTTAAAAAAGAAGTCTCACCAACCCCGATGAGCTGATGGCTAACAAGATCTCAGCATGGATACAAAATGCCTATGTGGGATCTTGCCAGCCGAGACTCCCAACTGGGATAGATGAAATTCTAATGCCATTGAAATCATGAACCGATTAATGTTAGACCACCACTAAAACCTGGAAGAACTGGACGGCCGTTTCGTCCTAGTATGGGACTCCTCAGCACAACGTACCCACGACCCTGCACGCGGAAATCAAACGCAGGATCTCAGATGTTGCATACGGACGCTCAACCTCTAGATTACTGAGGCGCCATCCAAACCAGTTAATGTCTGGCTGTGAACAATAGTCTTCTGAGGTGGTCGCACGCACACATAATCATACGCTACCCAAACGTATAATGCTGACCAACAAAATAGTAGATCGTAAAACTGTAATGGGTGGTGAGAATAAGACACTGACTCATCGACTGACAGACAACTGTGATGTGGTGTGGATGTCTAGGTTAGGATTCACAAGATAATTGTAATCTATAATTGTAGAACGCAGTTAGCACCGCTCAAAACTAACTTCAGTGACATAGGAGTATTCTATTTATTAACTGCCTTTAAATGCTGAGCATATTATAATCGCAAACTCTTCATTTATTTGTTTTGAGATCTATACCAAAACCTTGTCCAGTCGATCTGAAGTATAACACTAGACTAACAGTGCAAAACATGGAAATAAAATAATTATGATCATAATATACATTTAGCCTAACCAAATAAGAGTTGAAATGATTAATACATAAATTTTGAAAGCCAATCTCTTATGCTTATACCTGAGTTTCCTCCTCGCGTTGCTTTAAGAGGATTTTTTGACGATTATTTTCTTCCCACTGACGTTGTGCCTCCCTCTCACGTTCTTGCCAAATTTCCTCATTACGCTCACTATAAAAAGTTACATTATAGTTTAAATTGTACCGTTCTTCGGCTTCAAGTGCGGCTAACTCCAACTCTTTAGCCTGTTGTGCTTGATAAGATGGAGAAAGTTGGAGCCGACTTAGCTCTGAAATAATGTAAACAAATAAAAATCGTAGTATACCTTCGATCTCCCTCTCTACATTTTCCTTGGCCAATTTTTGACGTTTACGCTTCCTTTTTAGCTTCTTAAGAAAAGCACGTCGGGCACGATGTCTGATCATAAGCAAACCAGTCATAAATCAAGCACATACGACATGTGAGACAAATCCATTATCCGTTATACATTCATTGTTTGCAATTCATTAGGAAGTAACCAAACAATTGGATTAACCTAATTCGGAAATTTGTTAAAAATGGAAATAAATGCAACTATATATTGTGTAAACGTTGATAACACTGGCCAGCCAAACAAATGATTGTGAAAAAATTTGGCTTAATAGCTTAGCTTAGTCAGGAAAACGTCGTAATGGCAACCTTGCCATTAATAAGCATGTTGATATTTTCTGATCTGAGCTGTCAGAACTGAAATCAATTCATTTTCACTCAAGGTTTCAGATTGTTGTTCCGGCTCTTTTTGACTGAGATTCACTCATTTGATAATTTGTAGCGAATATTCAGACGAAGATGCGAATTACAGTGTAATAACTAAGGTTTGCAGTAATTTATTAATACGTAGTCTTCAGTGTAAACAGCACTAATCACAGTTTGGTAATTAGTGCACACATGAATTGCCTAGTAACCATGAGCCTACGAGGGTATAGGACAACAGAAAAAAAACAAATTTAGTCGTTCATCTGCCAAAAAACAATCATCTCTATTATCTACGGTCTACATTGGTAGTTCTCCATTGAGTTGAAAAAGGAGTGAATTTTTCAACGTTTTGAGATATTCAACTTTTGTTGCGCTGATCATAACAAAAGCTTAAATTAAAACTTATTTTTACCGCTTCGAGAAATATCTGGGTTTGCGAAATACATTTTTACACGCTAATCACTTCGGCTTTCATTAGTTGACGTCTTTTTTATACATATCTGTGTATTCATAATTACCTAGAGTAAGTTTGGCAATATTTTCAACAATATTGATTTAACTGACGTTTCGGTACATTTCAGGTTACTCTGGTAATGGTAATTATTTTCCACTTTTCGTTATGTTTTTTAAACTTTTTATCGTCTTATCATACCCGTTAAAATGTTCATTGAAAGCTATCGATATAGTCAACTATTGTCTCTTCTCTGTTGAAGATGGCGTGCAGTAAAATGGCATAAAGTCCGTGTCAATCTATCCGCAGACACGTATAAACTTCGCTCAAAATCACTTTCAACCTGGTTAAGTGGAAAATGCTACCTAACTAAGATGATTCTCCGAAATGAATTCATGCAACTTCTCATCTTAATGAAGAAATTTCGGAATGACGATGCCTCCTCGAAGGATCTGACGTTGGGCGAAGAGACCATGAGTGTGATCGTTAGTGCTATCAACTCAGCTCCTACTTTAGATCGAATGGTTGAGACTTCCATTGTCAATACGCTTGATGAGAAAAAGATCGTGTCCATATTATTGTTACGCATAATCGTAAAACGTTTTGCTTTATTAGAACTAAGAATCTACTATCCATCGAAAATGCACTTACTCTAAACACTTTTAATGAGATGAATGCGAGTGTATGATGTGCAAAGAGCAAAATCCTTATACAAGACAAATTGGGTAGCGTAAATGAATGAATTGGAGGGGAAGTTAAAACGATTAAAGAAAAATTTCCGTTAGTTCACTAACTAACGACAGCCAAAAGCCATGAACACGACTTTCAAAGAAGTTAAATCCGTCACTAGTTAAATTACTTAGAATACGGAGTCAAACGACAATGATTCTGCTAAACGGCATTCACAAGATCTGTAGTGAAATCTGATATCCAAAGTTTCCGTACTCTTTAAGCAACAGAACTCGACAACTGAGGTAGAGGCGAGACCCGACCAAAGAGCATCTTAAATTTAGTACTCAGAAATAATGAGGAGAGAGACGTTATACTAACCAACGTCCAGAAAATAGTAATTCAAACATCTACGTCCAGCTAGATTACTCACCAAAACTGAATTAAATGGAGGAATGATCTTATTGAGTTAAAAGCTCAAACACGAAATGGTGAAACAAACACTGGAATTTGGAGTTTACGGGTAGTGAAGTCCTAGGAGCCAATGATTTCGAGACCCCCCCCCGAAAAAAAACTGACGCTCGTCGTCTCGGAAATAAAACGTGTGAGCTGTTTTGTGGTGGAACAGTTAATTACCAGCACAGCTATTGTCACAGGAACATGGCTCATGACAGATGTAAATTATTTGCCAATTATCGCAGGTCAAGTCCGTACAATAAGTGGCAGGGTTATAAATCGTAAAAGGGGAGGGGGGTACGATATTTTTCTGGTGACTACTATTCGCGTACAATTAAGTGTAAACTATAGTTCAACTTGGCATGCTGACGAATTTGTTGAAAGTCTCATCTGCATATGAAGTGGGGCCAAGTGTCGTCTCACCTTTGTGAAACTCAAAGCACCATACACCAACTGTTTAGAGTTTACAGCATCAGATGGGTGTTTAGACGGCAGCCTATTGTTAACAAATATTTGGTGGGTACTTGTACAATGTATTGCAAAACCGACATATTTCGACTTATAAAATGGACCATCATAGTAAAACTTTGTCTTGATACACCATTATGACGACGCTACCAACAATCAGTACCTACCTCCACCGACTAACAGGGATGACCTTGTAGTGCTTTAGGTTTCGGACAAGTTATATATAGCATTGACCTGCTCCATACTGTCCCAATGTTTAAGAAGCTAACATTCCAGCGGTCGGAGATTATGCTGTTGCGAAAATTTGCCTATCAACGTAAATGAGTTGACTAAAGACGAATGGAGTAAGTTTAAAACCATATTTGAGGTAGTAACAAAACCATCCACCTAATATAGGATGAACAAGGCCTTCTATCGATTGATAGAGAAACGCGAAGGCGAATTAGGAATAAAGAGTGTTTTGAGACATTTTCTTGATAACGGGTTATGAAGCATTTAATTGTGAGTACCGTAAGGTCAGGAATATATATATATGGCAGATTCGCACAAGAGCGTGCAAAGTAAGGAAGACTATGGGCGTCCAGCGTCAGAATTTAAGTTTTGCGTCTTTTTTACAGTGAAACTTAATCTCACCAAAAACAACTAACCATACAAGAAACAAACGTACAATGTTTGAAAACTAGACTAGTTACGTATAACTTTGAAAGTGAAACATGAAATGTTTGAGTTCCAATATCCAGTAATTTGTGACAAACTTGTACAAACTAACTGATTACTTTATTCTCAGAAATGTTTCATATTTTTAATAATGTTCAATAGACGATAGTATAGCCACTGGACTTTACTAGTTGTAAAGGGATGACAGAGATTATAATAAGGGGGATGGAAATAGATTTTTGGCGTGTCATGAAGATAATAGTAGGTATGTTGCGTGATATGCATCAGGTCCAGCTACATACTAAGTAACTCATGAGTGAGTGCTTGTTTATCAAATCTATTCTTGAAGCTATGAATTGAACAGGATATAGTCACTTTGTCTATGCGAACAAGACATTTTATGATACCAGCCTTCTGTAATAATAACAACAGATCGGCTGAATTGTGTTAGCGCTCGGACCATGTTTTACAGTGAATATTCACTTTCCTCTTAAAGCTGTTCACCGATAGATCTGACACTAATCCACGGAATAGCGCTTTCCATTCCTTAGCTATTTCATGAGAAAAACGAACCCTTACCTTTATTCTATTCAGACGAGGTGTCTTAACCACTTATTATTAACGAACTATTTGTTAGCAAGTGAAAGATTAAAAACTAGGATCACAGACAAAATTGATGTTTCTAATCTTACGCAAATCAAATTATGTGGTGAATCTCTAAAGATAGCAACATTAAAATTAAGTGAGAACAACTAGTTGTCTTCACACAGAACAGAACGCGGGGGATTTTCACAAGTGTAAATACGAACATGAGAAAATAATCTTACAATGGCCCAAAAAATACCTCTATACAACACGTGAACACTTTATTTGTCATTTATTACAACCAAATCAGTTCACTGGTAGAATTCAGTGGACATATACGGACTCAAAAAGTAAATATACGCTCCCTATTACACTAATGTACCAAGAAAGAGTAAGGCTTTTGACAGACTTATATTCACGTTTATAAAAGTCGGAATGCCTTTCAAATTATTATGTTGCTAACTATTGATTTCATAGCAAACTGCAATAAGCTATGCTGTCGAACAACTCCACACACAGAACTATTCATCACCACGATCTCTGTTTACATATTATCTCTATCTTCATTCTTTTCTAAAACAGGTAATAATCGATCAATAAACGTTCGTCTGTCTATCGTTTAAGCGTGAACCCATCTTAAACACTAAGCTGCTCTGCTCAACATGTCTTCATAGTCCAGCCATTTATAACATTCGTACTTAATCACGTGCTTCCACATTCATCCTTTTCCTTTGCACGTTATACCAGATCTTGTTCCCACAGAAATCGGTCATTTGAGCTCTAACAGGCGAATAGCCGTACTAAGTAGGTAGGTTAAAACCACTAATTTATAGACGTATTGCTATCTTATCACATGTACGCTGTGACCTTTAATCATAGTACTTTATTGAAGTTAACGATTCGGTTCATGTATATCTGTTAATACTGATATATTGTCCTGAGTGATAATCACATTTGTTTTTTGTGTACTTTAATATTTTTTTCCTTCGTTATGGCTTGCCCTTAACCTGTCTAGTTGACTTTTTAATTTATATATGTAAGTGTTTTTAACAAGTATATGCGTGATCAGATTGTTCGAAATGTATTGCGCAAATATATCACATAGTTCTGATAAACTTCATCTTCTCATTGCATTATCGAAATTTATCAAATGGATTAATTGTTTTAAATACTGATCTTTGTTATGACCAACAACAGAATAGACTCCCATTATTCTTAACCCCAATGATACCGACGTAGTTAACCATATCATCCAATGATCTGAGGAACTAACAACAACACTGTAATGTTCATAACACTCAGTAATTTAAGCTAAGAATAACTGATAGCAGTTGCTGCAACCAGTTTTCTACAATGATCAACTCTAACGTTGTTAGTTGTCTTGCTTTTTCCCTGGTTATGCAAGTTGCAAACTTTGGGCAAATGACTGACTGTTCAGTTATACTAAACTTCAA